GGGTGCGACTGGCATTACAAAAAAATCCCCGTCCCTTTTATAATAAATTGTTGTAGAACAGGTTCGTGTAGTAGGCGGATATATCGGCACTCAAACGGCAGCACAGCATTGGGCAAAAAAATCACAGTCTTTTTGTGTGCGTATGTCAGGTGCATATTATTGCGGAATATCTGCTGCTTTTGCCGCCGCCGCCGCCACGACTGCCGAGCAGGACAAGTTCTTGCTTTTTAAAATATGATTCTGCGAATCTGAGCCAAGAGCCAGAAAGAGAGAGAGAGAGAGCATCAGTGCAAAATGATTTCGCTCTGCGCGGAATACAGTTACGAGATGACGGCGCGGCTGTACACAAAAATTGGACGTCAAAGAGAGAGAAGAGACAAGTGATTGTTCTGTAAATCTCTCTACGGCCACTTTTATTTCCTTTATTTTAAATACAGCAAATAATGCTTCGATAAAATAGAAAAAAATGTTTGACTCGGGAAGTTTTTACTTTGCATTTTAATTTTTTTTAAAGTGCCGTTTTGTTCAACAATTACATTTTTAAACAAATTTTTTTCAACAATTCAATGTAAACAATGTATTTGAAACAATGTGGACAGATAAACAACAATAAAAATGATAATGTAATAATTATATATATAAAAATTTAATGGCAGAAAAATATTATATACACTTAAACTTGATGGCGCATTTTTTTCAATCTTTGATCAGAATCAACTATTATGAAGTTCATATGCTTCATACTTCAACTTTTTCAATGTTCCATCAAGAAGTTTGCCTCTTTAAATTCCGGAAAAGACGTCATGTTTTGGGCAAAAACAATGTTTGATATGTTCTCAAAATGAATTTTGCGCGCACGCAAGAGATTTCGGCAGCAAATAACATCTCAATTGACGTCATCAGTTTTCCTCTTTTTTACATAACCGTCGGCAGCCTCGACATAATTTGAAAATTCGCATCGAATTACCTATATTCGTTTTCCCACGAGAATACGTTATACGTATATCGATCCGCAACAATGGAAAGGGTGAAACACGTCTCTCCGCGCGCCGAGATGAAAACGAAACCCAAGGTCGGCGTTAATTATGCCACCGATTTCCTCCCTCGTCTTTATTGCCCCGGAAAACCCTTTTCCTCGACGCCGAGCGAGTGAAATTTCGTGTAATTTCGATTGCACAATAAGACACGCACAGGATATTGAATAATAAAAATAAGATTTCGGCGCGGCCGCAGCACAAACGGCGGCAACCCCTACTCGTCGCCACCCACCCAACCCGTTCGTAAACAGCAGAGGGTCGCGCTGCATTACGTAAAGAGGATTTGAGCCAACGTGAAAATGTCCTTGACCCAAGAGAAATCCTATAATATTGAGGGAGCTCTCTCGCGCGCGCCGAATAAGAGAGGCGGTTCACCCTGTCCGCCGGCGAAAGGCGAGAGCAGGGATGAGAAATTATATACCAGAGCGCGTTTTATTATTGTGATGGATGTGCGCCGGCGAGCTTTGTCTGCGCGTGAATATTCAAAAGGAGGATGCGGCTCGTACAGGATTCTTTTCCGCACAAAAGAAAATTGAAATTTTATTCATTTACTTATTTTGTATTAAATTCAGTGTAGGATTTCTATCGTATTCGGAACAAATTTTATATAGAAGCTGAAGCAAATTTCTATATAAAATATAAAAATTAAAAAAGAAATTGAAACATAAATATATTTTGAAATTAAATAATTAAGCACATGTCAGTCTACTGTATATTTCCTCAAAATTTAAAAAACAAGGAAATTTTGCGCATATAAAATTAATTGAAAAGGCCGAGCTGAACAGTGCGTTCCAGTTTGCGTGTGCGTGCGTGGGACGAAAGCCACCCCCTTCGCCCACGTACTCTCTTTTCGCAACCCCCGCAACCATCGATCGCACGCGCCCGCTGCTATATTTGAACCTGGCGCTCTACCTGGTCGGTTGCTATCTGTTGCGCACCGCCACCCCCGTAATGCTGTCAGCGCAAAAGAGTGACAGACAGGGTTTAACAAATCACGGCGCATTCATGTCGTTTGGCAGGAGAAAATTATTTTATGTGTGTACTGACCGCTGATTTTCGCGCGACAGGAAAATGAATCACCGCGACTGAAAGGGCAAGAAGTGCGTCATTCGGCTGGTTCCTTGGTTGCGGAAACGTACATTAATATCAAGTGACGATAAGTAGCGCTTTTTAAAAAAATATTTCCTTGATGTTGCAAAGAAAAGCTAAATTGTATTCGAAAAGTAAATTCAAATAATTTATTTTCTAAAAATTTGAATTAAAAAGTTTGAAAACCTTCAACAATGAAATTCATGTTTTTCAATAATGATCCTTTTATGGACTGCGAGTATGAAGCATTTTAAATATTAAATAACACTTTTTCTCACACTCGCCGGCGATGCTGTCATCAAACATGAATTTCTGCACCCACTGCGACCCACATTCACGACCAAAACGCCATAAATCTGCGGCGGATTTCGCAATTTTTCAATTAGCGCTCGCCCAAATTGAATTTAAAGCACGGCACAGAGGTCATTAGCAGCGAGCGCAGGTACACATTTAATACTTTTTCTCACACACGGGCCTATCTGCCAGCGATCGCAGGCGAGCTATTGATGCATGCTAATTGAATCACACCACCTTTGACCCGGGCGCGAGAGAGAACGCCGAGCTGCCTACAAAACACATGCGTCCTGTTTATTTATGAAGCGAACAAAAATTAGAAGAAAAAAATAACAAGAGAGAGAGAAGGAAAAAAATGTCCATTTCTGCGCGCAGGACCTGTTGTTTCCGAGTGGGTGTCGCGGCGCGCGAGCGAGAGTAAAAAAGGGCCGCAGCATGGCCTCAAGGCCGCGCACCGCCGATGACGCGAGCGGTGACCTCGCGAGGGGTGGTCGGGGGCGGGGGTGGTGCCGCCCGCCGCCTCCCTGGCGCATAAACAAACCGGCGCTGCTCGATATACGCGCGCTGTTTTACGCCACTCTCTCGAGTGCACATTTCCTACGCAAATCGATACTAATGTGTGCGAGTGAGCGTCAAGAGAGAAAGAAAGAGTGACGCTTGTTTCCATGAGTTGGGCCCGCAGAGTTCTTTTTTACAGACAGAGTGCTTTCCGTCTGCTGGGAATTGCTGATCCCGCCCTGAAAATTTCAGGAGACGCTTCGTTTATATTGATTTTCAGCTCTGCACTCATGGTAGTGCCCGTTTTACAAATAAGATATTTAACTGTGTAACTGGCTATTTTTTAACTTTTCAAATTTTTAAATTATTAATAATATCTCATTTTAAAACTGTATTTTTTTTTAAATAAATAAATACCGTTATAGCTTTGGAAAGCTAATATTATATTATTTAAACGATTGATAATATTTATTGTGAAAGATGGATTTATTTTTAAGAAAAGCAATTCACATCTTCCTGAATATATTTTAAATATTATACAAAATTTGATAACATTTCAATAAAGTTACTGTTTTAAAATAATTTTCATATTTCTATTTGACGATAATTTAATAAATATTATAATCAAATTAGAAAACTTAATTTGCAACACTTTTTGCAATATTTCACATTGCATAAAATATTATTATACAATAAATTCCTGTTTTAATTTCGTTAAAATTCGTAGAAAAATTTTATATAATATCGCCTCTAGATTAACAAGCCAATTCTCTGGAAATCCATAGAGCCTTGAGGGATTATTCGCAAAATATTTGTCGCTGCCCTTTTTGTTTTGGAAACCCTTTTGGCAGTTTCGGCACAAGCTAAGCTCCATTTAATTAGAAGCGGCCCGGCGAGTGCGAAATGAGGCAGTAGCCCCAAAGGAAACGTGATAAGATGGAAAGGAGTGAGAGAGACGAGAGATAACGCAGCAGAGAGGGCGCAGTTCATACGCTTTAATTAGCGTGTCTGCGTTGGAATGCAAACACATTGAGAAAGAACAGTGCCAATGGGTCAGAAACTAACCAAACTCTGCATTTTCTTGCATGAAAGAAGATTTCTCAATTTATAGTTTTTCACATTCCCGGAGGAGAGGCTTGCACTGCCCACGATAATAATTCAATTGCAGAGATTTCTCGCATATTCATGTAAAGTGCGTTGGTGTGCGCGCATGGAATATTCTCTCATATATAAGAAAGGTCAATAGATTACAACTTTATTATTGCGGCGGCGGCGAGCAGTTTTACTGCCCTGTTGACCCCCGATGGGTGCAACCGCAGCAAACCCGAGAGAGACCGGGGCACGTCACAACGACGCAGTCTGAACGCATTTTCTGTCGCACGAAATAAAAATATAATCGGCTTATTACAAATTGCACTTGACTAGCGAGTTTTTTGTTCGCGGGGCGCACTCGCGATTCGCGTCAACTCCGGCGGGATCCCGCTCGGCGCAGATTTTGCGCATGATTTTTGCGCATAATTTCTCAACTCTGAAAGTTCAAAGTTTGTTCCGCAAGGGACATTCATTGCGAACGAGGAAGCTTTTGAAAATTATCGTTTCCTAAATAAATATAATTAGAGCGCGTCATATTGTAATAAAAAATCTTTAAATGTTTGCCAATGACACTTTTTGCTCATAATTCTCTCAAAATTTATTTAGGCCGCATATCTTGGTTTAATATTAATTTTATAAATTAACAGCGTGTAAGAGAATAATTAAGGAGTGAAATTTTATATTATTTTAAAAATTAATTTATTAATTAATCTGTTGAATTTTTTTCCATTTATATTTTCAATAATAACTATAATATCAAGGTAGCCATTTTTGTTCGAAAAAAAATTAAGAATTTTGAAAAATTATTTTTTCGTTTTTAATTTTTTTTTATCTTTCTTAAGTTCAAAGACCCCATAATACTATCCAATCGGCGATTTTTATAAACAAAATTCCGCTTTTTTCCCTTAACAAGAAAACTTTGCATAAATCTATTCGATTTAACTGCCGTAAATAAATTATTTAAATCGGAAAAGGGGATTGGGAACTCACCTAACAGTCTAAAGTGGCGAATCGAAATCGGGGCACTGTCACCGCAGCATGGTGGGGTTGGGGTAATCCATGGCGGGGGTGCTCAACAGTCTGCGGCCGCTGCAGCACCATGTGGGCACATGTCGCGCCGAAAACAAAAATCCAGTCGAGTGACACTTTTTTGAGCACTGGTGTCGGGCAGCACGAGATTGGCACGCTGCGTCTTGGTTCGGGGCGCCGGGGTCGAGCCTCTCTAGCCGTGGCAGCTGCGCGGCGGCCTGCAGTCCGCTACTAACTAAAACACCGTACGAGAGCGGCGCTCGCTCGCTCGCTGCGGCCCAAGAAGCGCGAGCGCCCGCCGGCTCGGTGGCGGGGGTAGCGGCCAAGGTAGGTGGAGGTGGTGTGTGTAAGCAGTGCAGTGTGGATCAAGAAGCTGCCGCCGCCGCCGCAACTAGCGCACGCCTTCGAGCAGACCCCACTGCCGATCGCGGGCCCCTAATCAACTCCCGATAATCCTGCCTACGCTTCCCATTTGTAGCTTTGGCCTTGTCTCTGTCTTTAATTACTATCAAAGAATAAGTTAAGGCAAAATTCTTGCTAGCGAAGGTGCCGTTTTGTCCAACAATTCCCTTTTTTAATAAATTGTTTTTAACAATTGAATTTAAACAATGTGATATAACAATTTGAACAAATAAACAACAAAAGTAACAATAAGGGACGTAGAAAATTTACTGTAATTAAAATTTTTTTAGTATTCCAACTGATTCATATCTACAATCAAAATATTTAATACATTTTTAAATAAATTAATTTTTTTTATTCAAGTTCCTTTTTATGCTACAGAGAAAAATATAACTTTACTTATAAAGGAAAATTGAAACATGAAAGAAAAAAATGGTAATTATCATTTTTTTTCTTATGAGGAGACGAAATTGAAGATTAAAAATGTAAAAAGAATGGTCCATCTCAAATTTTACGATAGTATAACAAATATTTAAATAATAAAAAATTTGCCTTTGAAATACCTAAAAAATGTGGTCAATCACTCAAAATTTTATAGCTTCGTTTACTTTGAAATCGTCCCAAATTTATTAATTGAGTTTCTGAATTATATATTTTATCGGGCGAATTGGAAAAGTAAGTACAATGCCCTAACGGCAGCTGCTATAGTCACCCTCTCTCGGCCGAGTGAGGAGAGGTAGACTGCCTGCAAAGCATCAGTGTATTACAGGTTGCATAACCTAACTTCGCAGTAGTTTGACAGGGGAGAGGGCTGTGTTATTGAATTATAGCGTGTTAAGGAAATGTGCCAAATACTTGTTGGCGTCCTCGATTTGTTAGTAAATTTTGGCTTTTGTAAAATAAATGGCTTAAACAGAATAATTATATTTAATTCTTATATTTTTTGAGTTAATAATAATCAATTTTAATTGCAAAAATTTATAAAATTTTCAGTATTATACAGAGAGCATGAAAACCAGAAAATGCATCAGTTTATTTATCATAATTTGTATTGATTGTGTTTTGCAAAATCAAAATTGAATAATTATAACTTCAAAAATACAAAAATATATAAGGCAAATTTCCTAACATTGAGGATAAAATAATATAGAAATTCTGATTATTGCACTTCTAAATCAATATTTAATTTATATAATTTTTTAAAAACAATGTGTATCTTTAAATTTTTGTAAAAAAAAAATAAATTAAAATTTCCCATTGGAAACTTTATTATGAACAAATCTTCTTTGTTTGTACTGTTCAATAGGCATCAACTTTTAAATGGGGCCCTTTTAAATGCAATGTGTTCCCACACGCTGAGAAAAATCCGAGCATGTGCGACTCGGGGCAAACACAGCGTGTAACCAGGCGGCGGCGACTGCACGTGCTGAAATGCAGCGGCCCTCGCGAGTGTTGCACAAAAAGAATGCAAATCAGTTTTCCTTTTGATTCAAAGACAATCTTGGGAGGCACCTCAAAGACGCGCAGGGGGATGAAGCAAGTCGAGGGGGCTACTTTGGCGTGCAGCTGCTCTTTCCTTTCTTCCTCGATCGGACCAGCTAGTAACTAACCAAAAACTCCTTTCATAAATGAGATTTTTTTCTCTATTCGCATAGAAATGATCCCCACGTGCTCCCGTTTTATGGGTGCGAATGCAAAGTCGTAAATTTTTATATTTACGACCAAGCACATTTCAATTAAAGAAACCTTTCAGATTTAAAAAATCATCAGGTGTAAATAACTTTTATTTTCTTCTGCTTAAGGCGGCGTTTTTTATTTTATCTTTCTCTCGGTTCAAATCAATCGGGTGTAACAAATTAAAACAAAAATTTGTGTAATCCTTTCGGTGCGGGAAAATGCAGCAGCATCGTTTTCTCTCTCTTGGAAATAAGTTACGATTATTGCAGGTCTACCGCCTGATTAGAGACGCGGTCCGAACCAACTACCTAGGGACAACTTTCCACTTTTAATTTTCTCCCAAATGAAGGGAAAAATGAACACTTTTATGGAGTGGGGGCCGCCGAAACTACCTGGGAACAAGTCGGGTAATTTATACTCGTTGGTTGGAACTTGTCATTCACCGCCATAAAACCACACTTTATTGCATTTCGTTGTGTCTAATGTGAGGGTGTATGGGAGAGTAACTAACATCCACATAAATAAAATCCTTTTAAGAATTAGAGAGAAGGTGGACCGACGGAGGACGGACAGCTACGGGGCTACCAATGGATCCTACCTGCAGCTAACCAAAATTTATGTGTCCTCTCCGGCAGAAAGAAGCCACATTATTCTTTATTCTTATCTGCGCGCCGAGGTTACATAAAAAGCAGCACAAGAACACATATACACACTAAAAGGAGAGAAAGAAAGAAAACGAGGGACTGCTACAGCAGGTAAAGAGGCGAGGGAGTGAAAACCTACTTACACGGATTCGGCCTCAAATCTGTGCCTGTTGGAGGAACGACTTGAAAGACACCCGCACGGGACACTGACTGAGAAAATTCCTTTGGCCACGGTCGCTTTGTGACACACAAGAGGCCCGAGGCAAATTGAATTTCCTTGGGAATTTTGACGCTTTTGGAAAGGTTTTTTTCTGATTAAGGATCTCGTTTATCAAGAACAAGTTTTATAAATAAAGGAAAAAGCGGCTCAAATCAGGAAAAGTTGTGTAGGTCATATTTTTCCGCTAATATAAAAGCAGAGTTAAAGTAATTCCATAGATTATATATTATATTTTTTAAGAAAACATACTACATTTATTTAATGCTAGAAACTTTATTAATTTCAATGAATAATAACATTCAAAGCGTTTTTATTTACTTTATTTTTGTTAAAAATTTAATTATAATTTTAAATATCTTTAAATGAGTTTTAGATATTTTTTGTTTTTAATATAACATTTTTACAACATTAACAGTTTTTTTAACGATTTTATAAAACTTTAAAAAAATATTGAAAACAAGATGCCATTGTAAACTATATAATACTATAGGATTAATTTTAATTGCAATGAATTATTTCAATTTTGAAATTCTTAATTGGTTGAATGTGTATATCTCGAATTGTAAAAAAATCTTGCTGCGTCTCAAATTTACAACAGTCGACGGTTCAAGACATATTAGGATGATCCAGCACGCATTAAATTTTTTCCATACAAAAAGGAGCAATTTATGCCGCAATAACGATCAAAATTTCGACTCCCCGATATTATTTATGATCATATTTCGAGAACTTCAACACCCACTAGCAGAGAGACATCTCTCTGTATGTAGCATATCAACTCTGGAGAAAAAGTTATGAGCCAGCCTGTGGTTTCGGCAGCGATATAATTTTCAGAGTAAAATTCTCTTCTCTCTTTCTCGTAATAAAATAAACTTGACATAGGTGCACTATAAACACGCCCCCTCCTCTGTCCGCGTGGAGTAAAAAAAGAAGACTATAACGCCGATGATGATGATGAGAAGAAGAAAAGAGCGACGAGTGAAAAAAGATCTTTTTGAGGGAAAACCTTCCGAGTCGTTTAGAGTCATTATCATCTATAGTTGGTTGACCAAGAGGAGTCTTCTTCTTTTTTAGTTTTTTCTCGCTCTCCTCCACTCTTCTTTTCTCTTTGACATTTGCCGCTCATCACAATAATAATACAACGCGCGGATAAAAAATAGCAGCCTGACTGAGCTGCATGCTTTTTATGTGTGCTTGGGAAGATATTCAAACATCCTCCTTCAATCCTTTCTGAGCTGCATGCCTGTGTGGACATTCAGGACGCATATTTGTATTGCCGCAGACGCCGGGTGTCCCTTATTGCTGAAGAGAGCACATCTTTAATATGAGAGTGGATTTCTGAATGTTTCGAGGAAGTTGGGGAAACAAAGAAGGCGCATAGTGGGTCGGGGTTAATTGTGCACATTTCGGAGAACAGATTTTACAGGAAAGGTGGTCATTTCCCGAAAAAGAAGCAGTGCTTCACATGTGGAATAAATGAAATTTTTGCTCAAATTGCCTAGATGAATTTTGGTATACATGATAAGCTTAGAAATAATCCTCATGGACATAGTTGCAAGTGACGTAAAAATTTAACATTTATATGATATGTATCTCTTTTTTATCACAGGTATCAAATTATTTCAACAATAAAGATCTTTTCGAGAAGATACAATAAATGGAAAAAGTTATTAATGAAATCTGCAAACGTTTAAATTTTTTTAATTATTTCATGATATTTTGTTATTTTTTGTCATAATTTTAATGATTTTATAATAACATAATTTTCTTTTAAAATTTAATTTTTACTTTTTTGTAATATAGTTTTTAAATTTATGTTTTTGCTAAGCGCGTCCTGTTAGGAATTTAAAATGTAAAAATGATCTAACTAAAACATATAAAATAGTATAAATGCATGGTATGAAAATCAATAATGCTTTAGAAATCTGGTAAGTTGCAAAACAAATTTTGAGCTTGGTCCTTTTGTGAGACGTCTATTAAAATTAAATTTTTTATGAAAACATAGCTGGTTGAATATTTAATAATTTTATTTTCATTACTTTTCAAAAATTCAGCTCAGCTACTGTTTTAATTACAAAAAATTAATAAATTATATGATTTTCCTGCAAAACCTTTTCTCCGTTTATTGTGCTTCGGAAAAATTACCAAAATTGATTGATAATTATTGATTTACGGCCAAATTCCAAGATCATCCATTTTGATTTCCGATTTTATAGGCTAGGTTCCACCTGATCCTTTTAATTTTAGGAGACACCCGCGCGCTCGCTCGCCTTTTCCCGATTTTAATGATCAAAAG